GGCCCCTGGGGAGGGGCTGGCTGGGGAAGGCTGTTCTGCCTGCTGGCCAAAGTGCTGGCTGGCTCCTCTGGGACTGCACTGCTGCCCTGCAGAGACAGAGGAGCTCTGGCAGCTCCTGGCAGGGCAGGTGTGAGCAAGGAGGAAGTGGAGATACTTTAAGCTATTAAATAAAAAAGGCTATTGTCACTGCTCCGTGGGCTGCTAGAAAAGAAGTGGAAGGACAAGTCTGATCAGTGCTTTTTGCTGAACCCCAGCCATGCCTCTGTGTTTAGGTAAAAACAATCAGAACTTGGTGACTGCCACAGAATTGTGGCAGGCCTGTGTGCGGTGCCATCACCCAAGGTGTGATCTAGTCAGCCACAACAGCACTGGTGGATCCATTCAGTTGAGGGCACAGTATGGAACAGCAGGAATGGCTGGAGTGTAGCTGGGGAGTTTGCATGAAGGTTCTCTGTAGCTGGGCTGAAGCTCGCACCATCCATTCTTTATTTCCCAAGTGTACAAAATCCTGTGAATGCTCGTGTTTGTCCTAAGCAGTCTTGAAGCTGGTACCTTGAGCCCCCCCAACTTGGTGCTGCCCTTTGGACTCTGGCAGGACTTCATTTCCCAGGCTGTGGAGTTTGTTTTAACAGGTGTGTTTGTGTGTGTGCATGTGTGTTCTCGGCGTTTGTGTGTGTATGTACAGTACACATACATCTACTGGCTGGTGTAAATTGTAAATATGTATATATGTATAGGTACTTGAATATATATTAAAAAGAATGAACCACTACAATGTCTATATACAAAATTTATATATACACACATACGCCATTTCGGGTGGATTCCACAAGGTGCTGCAGATCATTTTTGGTTGTAGTAAAGGTTATGGCTCTTCTGCCATTGTAATTTACTGTTTCCAGGGACTTACCCTTGGACCTTGAAGTAATTCATAACTGATTTGAGGTACAGGAGCCCTTAGTGAGCCAGGGGAATGGGTACTCCTGTATGTATTAGTGGTAAGATCCATGTATTAACTGTGAAGCTGATCTCTGCCTTCCTGCCTGGTAGGAGTTACTAAAACATGGGATTGTGTGTGGAAGCTGAAGATACAGGAGGCCTTTAATGCAGCAGTGAGTGAGAGGCGGGTTATCTGTTGCCCTGCCTGCTGCTCCTCCCCCAGCAGTGTTCAGCTTGCATGGAAAAAGGGAATTGAGTTTTCCCCAGCTCGCTGCCTTCCAACCGAACGCTTTTGCTTTGCTTTAGCTTTTGCTTTTATGAAGCTGTTCTCATTTTGGTTCCATCTGTGTGGAAAACAGTATGCTGTTTCCAAGCATAGGAATGATGATGATGATGATGATGATTCCACTCATGTGGGCTGGTGAACCTCTGGGCCGTTGCTTGTGAACTGACTGGGAAAGCCCTGGTGATCCCACCTTCATTTTAGCCAGGCTGAAGCGGGGAGTCCTTGCTTGTGACCTGAGAGGCTTCTACTCCACTTTGCAGCCCTTCAAGGAGGTTGTTTGCTTGTTGCCAAGGTAGATCTCATCAGAGGAAAATGCACTCTTTAAAAAACTGAACAAAAAGCCCTGAAGAAGCTGGAATGTAGGAGGAGAATGTAGTACTTGAAAATTAGTTCAGAAGTTGTACTTATCAGCAAAGAGTGTCCAAGTCAAAAATTCATTCTTGGGGCTACTCATTCTCCTCTTACCTACTGATCTTTGTTAGAAGGTCCAGTGCTGGCAGGGACATTCAAAGATAAAGATTGTTTTGTTGGGAGGAGTATGGAATTGTACTGTGTAAGCAAAGGGCTCTTACCCTCTGTCTGCTCTAGCTGTAGCTAGGATAAGTGTCTGGTCTTGGATTTTGAGCCAGCCCCCTCCCTTCCTGCCCAAAGCAACTGCATCCAAGATGAAAATGTTGATATTTTCCCCTCCAAGTAAAAGCTTGTCTTGTTTGAACTAAGTCATTCTAAACTCGTGCTACTGTGTGCTCTGTGCTATGGTCGTAGGTACCTCGGTGTATGCTTGTGTGTACTGAAGAAAATCTGGTTTCTGTATCTCACAGTCCTCAGTGTGGAAGCGAAGCAAAGACTGAACCATTTTTAAGTGAGAAGAGAACAAATCCTTTTCTTCTCAGGCCTGCTGCCTTCCCTCTTGTCTCGCTCTCCCTTTCTCCATGTATCTTTATTGCTTAGATTAACGGAGAAGACTTGCCAGCACCAGGCAATGCCAAATTAAAGGGGTAAATTCTGCATGTAATACGTTGAGAGGACAAGGTGAACTGGACCAACTGTGTCCTCATGGGACTGCTCCTGCCTGGCTCCCTACTCCTGCATGTGGTGTGCTCAGATGAATCCTGCTCCCACAGTAGGCACCTGCTCAAATTGTTTGTGCTCCTGCTCAAATTGGCTTTGGAACATCCTGCCAAAGTTACTACTGTTGCCTTTTTTCCCCCTTCTCAAAACAACAATGACAGGGGGATGCAGGGTTATGAGTCTTTAATGCTCTGGTTTTTATTTGCTGTTGGGATGTGATGTGTCATTTTGCTTCGTGCACAAGCTAAATGGAGCACTAACTTCCATGAGCTGTGCAAACGGGACTTGCTCCCTGGAGTGCTTTCTTGAGAAGTTCCAGGACATTTCTTTGAGTAGTTTGTCAAAATAATGTCTGTCAAGTCATGACTGACTAAACTCTCAAGACTGCTCCCCAGGGAGATGTGCAGAGATGTCTTTTAAGGATCACAGGAAATAGATGGGGGCAACAGGAAATTAGGTTCCAAATAATCATCTTCAAAAGCTACAACTTGAGTAGCTCTGGTCAGGCTTCTCCCCTAAGGATGGGGTGGAAGTGCTGCTCCCAGATCCATCCCTGGCATGAGTTGGGAAGCATCTCCCCTGCCCCGCCACCTCCCGTGTACTGTAACCATGCTGTGCTGCAAGTCTGCTCCTTCCAGAAAGCTAAAAATCTTGGCATCTGTCTGAACAATTGTTTTGTCTTGAGGCTTCTTTTGTAAAAGCTTTATCTGTGTTCAGTTCCTCAGTCGGTGTCCGAGTGCAGCTCAGTGGTGCAGCAGCGGCTGAGCCTCGCTCAGGCCTGGTGGTGCCGGGGCTGCTCCTGGGGCTGAGGGAGCTCTGCAGGCAGGAACAGCTGTATGAACAAGGGAAAAATCTGGTCTGGAGAGCTGAAAGCTGCTCTGTGCACCTCAGTAAGGTCAGGCTCTCCAGAGCAGATCATACACTCCCGAGGGGGCTCTCTTACATTGGTAATATCTGACTTTTAGAGCAATACTGTTCTGTGACCACATGTACTGCAAGTGCTTTGAGGATCTGGGTGCCCAGTAGTGGAGCAGGGAGGAACACATCAGACATGCAACTGCTTTAGATTTAGGAGTGCCACTCAGCCACTTATTGTTTTCCCCTCTAAACCATTACTCTGCCAAGACAGGAGATCTCGTTCGAGGTCTCTGAATCTGACTGACCTTTTGGGGGGATTAAGGACTGTCTGAATTCTGCCCAGATGCAGTCATAGCTGTTTTATTCATTGGGAACAGACCTCAGTGTAGCTCCCTGGCCTGCAGGAGCCCCAGAGCAGAGCAGACCTCACCAGCCCTGTACCAGCAGCAGCTCCTCCTGCTGGGAGGATCTGCCCCATTGACTTTGCAGGTCGCTCTCAGCATGTTTATCATAATTTCTCCCTTTAAGTGGTTTGTTGGGAGCAGGATTCTGCCTCATGCAGGCTGAAAAGCACAAGTTGCTTCTGCCCTGGGCAAGACCCGGTGAGAAGGACGAGGGGAGCACAGGTGGGAGTGTTTGGGAGCGTTCTGGGAATGTAGAGGTACAGAGTGTTTTGCCTCTCTTGAGAATCAGATTATTTATTACCAAAAGTAATTTTATAGTGAATTGGTTTAAAGTTATTTTACAGCTGTGTGCCTGTATATCGTATTTTGGTAAAAACAGATATTTTCCTTGAAATATATAGAGATATATAAATAAACTTTTTTTGGAGCAAATGGACTTTTTTTGCAAGGGATGTGTAATCGCCAAAGCAGCGTGATGCCAGAAGCGACCGTGCCGTTGTTCTGGGTGTCTGTGGAGGGAAGCAGCGTGTTTGTGTTACCGCTGGACCCTGCCGGGAGGAGGAAGAGCCGCTGGACCTGCCGCTTCTCCCTGTCCGAGCCGACACCCCCGGCCCGGCCGGGTCACACACCGAGCGCCGCCCCCCGTCCTCGTCGCCGCCTCTCCGGGCTTTCCAGAGACTCTGGAGCAGATTCCCGTTCGCTTTTGTCCCCGCCGCGCCGGGGCCGCTCCGCCGGCGCTCGCGGTCGTGCCGTGTCCGAGCCGCTCGCTGTCCCCGTGCCGGGGCTCGGCCGCCCCTGTCCCGGCCCCGCCGAAGGACTGTGCTGTCAATAAACTGTGGAAAACGCTCGTACCCACCGCCTCGTCCGCTCTGCCGCGGGACTGCGGGAGGGCAGGAGGGAGGAGCGGGGCTGAGGGATGAGCGGGGCCGGGGCCGAGGGAAGACTGGGAGCGGGAGCGGGGCCGGGGCCAGGGGAGGAGCGGGGCCGCGGGAGGAGCGGGCCGGGGCTGAGGGAGGAGCGGGGCCGGGGCTGAGGGAGGAGCGGGGCCGGAGCTGAGGGAGGAGCGGGGCTGCGGGAGGAGCGGGCCGGGGCTGAGGGAGGAGCGGGGCTGAGGGAGGAGCGGGCCGGGGCTGAGGGAGGAGCGGGCCGGGGCTGAGGGAGGAGCGGGGCCGGGGCTGAGGGAGGAGCGGGCCGGGGCTGAGGGAGGAGCGGGGCTGAGGGAGGAGCGGGGCCGGCGCCGCTTCCGCCCCGCGCGGCGCTTCCGGGTCGGCGGTGTCCGGGGAGCGGCGGGGCCGGGCCGGCCATGGGCGGTGAGGGGCCGTGAGGGGCCGTGAGGGGCCGTGAGGGGCCGTGAGGGTGGGGGCACGGGCTGGGGCCGAGCCCTCGGTGCCCAGAGCGGAGCGGCCGGGCCGGGCCTGCCCGGCGGGTGGCGGGGGCCGGGCTGAGGGACCCGCCCGCTCTCCCGGCGCTGTCACCGTTTGGGGCCGTCGGTTTGGGGCTTTAACGGGTTCTGCGCCGCGTGACACGATTTTTTAACGTATTGTAACAGATGCGATGTTAAAGGACGTTCAGTTTTCTTTTGATGACTAGTGCGGGTGGGATTTTTAGTGTGGAACCCATTTCTGCTTTATTTGCAGGTACTGTCAGGCCGTGAGGGCTTTAGTGGAACTAGAAATGCAGTAAAGCAGTGGGTGAGGCACAGAATTAAATCTCAGCATCTGCAAGCTTTAAACAGAGTGCCAGTGTATTAAAGGGTGGAGGTCGTGGGTTTCCAAGGAAGCTGGATATTTCAGCGCTGTAAGCAGTAAAATGTTTGCCAAACTGAAGAAGAAGATCGCGGAGGAGGCAGCGGTTGCCCCCAGGCCGGGAGGGACTGCCCGGATCCCCAGGTCTGTCAGCAAGGAGTCCATCACGTCGGTGGGAGCAGACTCCGGAGACGACTTTGTGAGTTACATCTTGCTTTGAAACCGGATTTCTCTGGCAGCGTTTTTAATTGGGCTCTGCAGACAACCGTGTTAGCTGTAGCGTGTGAGTTGAGTACGTGCTGTAAGTGCACCTCTTAAAGCATAAATGTATCATTAGCTTGAACAAACTTAAACATTGAAGAGAGTGTTTGTATGTGAACCGTAGTAGTTGCCATGAGGCTTCTATTCCTGTGTAAATGTGAGTTATAAAACTGTTTCAATACAGAACATTGATAAGCAGACATAAAATATTGAATGAAGCTGTAGTTATGTGTAAGATACCTATTTGTAAAATTAATTACTGAAGCACAGAATCCCAGAAGGGTTTGGATTAGAAGGGACCTTAAAGTCCATCCAGTTCCACCCTCTACCATGGGCAGAGCCTCCTTCCACTATCGCAGGTTGCTCCAAGCCCTGTCCAACCTGACCTTGGACACTTCCAGGAATGAGGCAGCCACAGCTTCTCTTTCAGTAGGAAAACAAGCTGGATCTGGCCAGCTTTCATCTTGCCATGGATTTGGCTTTACCTCTGGGCTTTCTGGGACTGTTCCTGTCTGAGACACTGTGTATGTCTCTGCCAAAAACCTTGTGTGCAGTTTTGTTGCACTTAAAACTATTGTAGTTCCTCTCTTTTGTTATAAAACATTGTTTAAACAAGAGGTAAAGTTCCAGGAGTGTATGGGTTAAATGAAACCCTGGAATGCTCTGGCACCTCTGCCCTGGATGGCTGGCTGTCACACTTTTGAAAGCCTGGATTAAGGCAGTGTCACCCCAGTGCTGGAGCCAGCAGGGCCCACTGCAGAGCCAGCAGCAGGACTCTGTTTGCTCTCTGCAAAGTCAAGAAGTTATTTACACAGTTGAGCTCCAACTCATTTTTTTCTGAAGCTCAGCTGAAATTCCAGTTCTGTTAAGCAGAAAGTGTGAGCTTCTAATGTTTAAACACATTCTATAATGGAAATATATTAGTCTTCTGTTTTGCTGAGTGTTTTTTTAGCGCTTAACACATTCTCATGTAAAAATTCCCTTCGCCACCCTGTGACTTCAAAGAACAGAAAACAAGTAATGGTGGTGGCTGAAGTCTTGAGTGGTTTTCAGAAAACCTCCAAGAATTAGTTGTTTTATCAATATTCATTTAACTACTCTTAATATGGATTTTTATGGAGCAGAGAACGCCCCAGGAATCACCAGTCAGTTATGCAGCGGGTTCTGTGTGGACAGACTGCTGCATCAGGGCTGCAGGGAGCTCATCCCACCTGAAAAGCATCGCTGCTTCTTTCCTCATTACGTTGATTTTCAGGAGTCTCGCTTCACCCTTCCTGGAGCCTGTGCTGTGGAGCCTGTGCTGTAGGGCCTGGTTTCCACTGCACCATGTCCTCAGTGCCAGTCTGAACCCCAGTTCTCAGCTGTAGGGCCTGGTTTCCACTGCACCATGTCCTCAGTGCCAGTCTGAACCCCAGTTCTCAGCTGTAGGGCCTGGTTTCCACTGCACCATGTCCTCAGTGCCAGTTTGAACCCCAGTTCTCAGCTGTAGGGCCTGGTTTCCACTGCACCATGTCCTCAGTGCCAGTTTGAACCCCAGTTCTCAGCTGTAGGACCTGGTTTCCACTGCACCATGTCCTCAGTGCCAGTCTGAACCCCAGTTCTCAGCCCGGCTCCCTTGCCCGGCGCTGTGCTCTGGGAGCAGCCAGCAGGGCACAGCCCGCTGTTTAAGCCCTCGCTGTTTTTCTCCTTCAGCATTTTTTACACATTCTGCTGTGCTAGTACAACTTTCCCCTTGGTGTGAAAAGCAAGTGTTATTCCTAGGTGGGAGAGTGGTTATTATCCCAGAGTTAATGTACAGCAGGATTGCTTTTTCAGAATAAGTTACATGACTTGCTTTTCTCCCAAGGCTTCTGATGGAAGCAGCTCCAGAGAGGATCTTTCATCCCAGTTGTTCAGAAGAAATGAACAAATAAGAAAACTGGAGGTGAAGCTGTCTGGTATGTGTCCTGACACGTACAAAACCTTGTTATTTTAGGAAATATTTTCCTTTGAGTTTAAGTGGTTTAATATATTAAAAATACATGGGTTTAGGGTTCTTTGAAAATTGATTTGTGGCAACCCTTTTGATTGACATCTGGGGAGCATCCAGTATTACTGATTTTTTACGAGGATGACTGGCTCTTTGCTGATTTCACACCACATTTATGTGATTCCTTGGAACAGCTAGCATAGCTTTCTGCCCCATATTTCAAATAGTGTCTGTCCCCACTTTTATTTTTCATGTGTGTCAATGGTTTGTTTCTCAGAGTGAGCTTTTTGATGCTGACAGTAACACAGTGCCATCCTTAAAGAATTGTGCTTGAAAATGAAGAAAGAGCAAAGAATTCAACTTAAAACAGTCTTGAGTTTTTTTTCTAACTGCTTGTTGTGTACAGCTGTAGTGAGGGCTCTGCACTGACACTGCATCCCTGTTGTAGGGAGGGAACCAGAGACCGTGGTGAACTGTGTTACACTGCTGCTTCCCAAAGCTCATGGAAGGCCTTGGAAAATAAGGAAAGATTACAATCAGCTCAGGATTATTTTAGTTTATTCTGGAGACTTACCAGGCTCCAGTTCAAGAAAATATACGATTCAAAAATCATTTCCTACTGAATTTGAAAGGCCAAAGTGCTCACCTGCTTGCACAAGGTAAACTTAAAAGTGGTTGAGGCTCAGCAAGAGAGAGGAGGGCTCTGATGTCCAGAGTTTTGTGCAAGCAGCCCAACCAGTGAGTGAATCCTCCCTTCCACTGCACAGAAGCTTCTGCAGGGTGTGTGTGTACTTCATTTAGGTGCTTATTCCCTGCCTCCCACGTCGGTTGTGCTGGGTGAGTGTGAGGGCAGCGCAGTCAGGGCTCGGCCTCGGGGTGCTGTGGGACTGGAACAACGAGCACAGGGATGCAGTGTCCATGAATTGCCCCTTCCTTGCACCCTCCAGTGCCAGAGACCTTTCCTGAGCAGCGTTCAATAGACCACTGTTCTGGAACGAAGTAAAATGTGGGCACAGCTGTTCATTCTCTGGTTCTGCCCTTGTCTGTGTGACTGACACCCCGGGACAGGCCCTCCTGTTTGTGCCAACCCTGTGGACGGTACAGAACTGTTTGCTTGTGTTCGTTGTTGTGGTCACCCAAGTTTTCCTCAGCAGGAATGATTTTCTGATTGAGAAAATCATTGTCATTTTGTCACTCATCCTTTTTTTCTTTCTTCCCCCCCCTTCCCCACCAAATGTCCTTTCCCAATGTCTGTCCATTCCTGGTCTGTGCTTCTCCTTCCTCACACGAGATTATGCTGATCAGATCCGAAACTTGCAGAAGATAAAAGAGAAGCTTGAAAATGCATTAGAGAAGCATCAGGATTGTACGTACTTTTTTTTCCTTTTTGTTCTTTTTAGGTTGAAAATTGCTGTGGTTGGAAGGAAAGGGGTTTGGTGTACAGGTGTGTTATTTATTTCCTTTCAGACTGTGCACCTCTGTACTCTGTAGAACTGGAACATGAGTTTTTGCCTTATTTACAGTGCAAAAAGCAGCAGTAATATCTTGAACAAGTTGTTATTATACTTCTTTTGCCAAATTTGTGGCTAACATTCAGGAGAGACCTTTTAGAAGGCCACAGCTTTGTTCTAATCCAGCAAGGAGCAGTATTCCTGTCTCCTGTTAGCTTTGGCTTCTGGCCAGTGTGCAAGCAGCGTGAAGTAATGAGTGGCACAGTGTTAGTGCTGGAGTCAAGATGGGGCTAATTACTTGCAGAACAAGCTCTTTAGAGTTATTTATAACTTACAGAAAACTGAGAAGCAATTTTAAAAGCTGAGTTTTTAATGTAGCTGGTGGCTCTCTGTTGATAGCCTCCATGAGGAAGTTTCAGGAGCAGAATGAAGCTCACCAGGCCAGTCGAGCCAAGATGGCTGAAGGAATGGCTTTGGCCTTGGAACAGAAGGACAAGGTAACAGCCTGAGCACGACTTTTGGCTCTCATGACCCTGATGTTTTAAGCAGGTGTTGCCATTAATTAAAATAATTGTTCAGCATTGTGTGTGAGTGTGCCAGCACTGAGGGAAGGAGGGAGCTCTGAGTTCCATGCCAGAGCTGCTCTGACTGTTCTGACTGGTTTTAGCAAGAGCCCTCCAAAATTCCTGATGAAAGGTTAAGCTTGTGCTTTGTTAAGATTAACTGTGATAGACCTGTTGTCACTTTTATTTTACTTGCATAAAGCTTACCTATTCAGGTAGCAAAAATGATTCCTCAGCCTTTATCTATAAAGCACTGGCTCTTACTGTTGTTTTGCTGATTTTTTTGTTTAATCGTTACCACAGCTTAGTATCTGCAAACAATACAATTTTTTTAACCATAATTAAATGTCCTTGAAAGTCTACAAATTGAATTTGATTTTTCCTTCTTCTTTCTATCTTGTTCAGGAGTGGATGGAAAAACTGGGTCAAGTTGAAAAGGTAATTAACCTCTGAGTTTTTTGGGGGGCTTTAGTGTGTCTGTGTATTTGTAAACACCAGCCTGCACACTTCCATCTCTATTGGAACTCAACTCTGTTCAGCCCTTTTTATTATTTGATCTTTGTTCAGTGGGAGAAGCCAATCATTTGCTTTTGTTACAAGCCCCAGTGCTTCAGGAGGTATTTCTGGAATTACTTTTCAGTGGGGAAGTAAAGAATGATGGGCTGTGATGGGAAAGTTGTCCTTCTGTAAGGTGGAGCGGTAGTTCCCTTTGTTACACAGGACGCAGCTGGGATGCAGAAGGAGGTAGAGACTTTGTCTGAGGTCTTGCAGTGGGTCATCTGTTTCATAAAATAACTGAAATTGTTTGGTAGGGATTTTTTAATACAAGATTTCAGTCTTGTAGTTGTTCCAAGTGTTTAGCTTAGTCTGTTTTAAAGGATGTCTGATTATGAAGATGTTAAACGTGCTACTATTTTTGTCCATTTTTAAGAGTTTGGTGTAGGTAATCATTGCTGCCATTGTAATGAGTTCAGACTTCTTTTTGTGTGTTCTTGAAGTTTGGTAATTTGCACTGTGACATGAATGTGGAGGGACTCCAGTTCAACGTGTAGCACTTTCAGAGCTTTATGGCTTCAAGACAAGATTCCTTTCCCAGAGAGTTTAACTAAACTCCTCTTGACTTGACATGAAAACACAGATATTCTTGGATTCCTTTTGTTTTTGTTCATTTATCAGGAAAAAAAAATGCTCCAAATACAGTTACAAGAAGTGAGGGAGCAGAGTTTGAACCTTTTCCAAAAGCGAGATGAAATCGATGAACTGGAGGGCTTTCAGCAGCAGGAAATTGCCAAAGTTAAACACATGGTAAGAATATTTCAAACTTTGTTTTCTTTCCTGAAATTTTTACTAGGATACCAAATTAGTGGTAGTTCTGCATGCATATTTTAGCCTTTGTGCTTGTACACAGCCTTGGCCAGTGTCAGAATTCTGACAGTAGTACTGAATATGATATTGCATAGTTTATTATTTAATTCAGCTCATAACTTAGTAAGAAAGGCGAGTTTCAGTGAAAAGGTTTGTCAGTTTTACTGGTCACCTGTACTGCCGAAGATAACCCTGTCATATTCAGCTTTTGAAGAAGGAAGAGTGTCTGGGCAGAGCAGAGCAGGAGCTGGAGGCGAGCGCTCGAGAGCTGACCCGCGCTAAGGCGGAGCTGCAGGAGGCCAGGAGCGAGGCCTCAGGCCTGGGGAAGGATCTGCAGGAGCTGCAGCAGCAGTTCTTGGAGCTGCAGGCACAGAGGTAGGGGAGCTGCTCTGTCAGAGGAGCAGGGGGTGCCTTTCCCCTGTATTTTTACTTCTTGCCCCGTTCGGTCTTCTGGGAAGAGTTCCTGTATGTGGTGAGTTGACTGAATCATTGCCTCTGCTGTGCCCATGGGGATGTAAATGCCAAGCCAATGATAGCAGTACTTGTGTGGGGTTTTGTAAATTTGTTACAATTTCGTATAGATTGAATGCTTAATTGCCACTTTTTTGGATAATACATAATTAAGCAGTGGTTGATGGTGGCTGGTTTTAGGACAAGAAAATTTTATTGTTGCTTAGTCCATTTTCATAAGCAGCAGAATTATCTGCTAAAGATTATTTTTTCTGGAACAGTATGTCACTTTTTTTTATTCTTTTTCTGTGAAGAGATGAACTAATGACAGCGGAGACAAATGCAGAAAATAAGATCACTGCTCTGGAGTTAAGAGAACAGGAGCTACAAACTGTCATTCAGCAGCTTTCTGTAGACTTGCAAAATGTAAGTTTGAGCTAAGTGAGATTTGATTCAATGAGTTCCATTCTGCAGAAGTTAGATTAGATATCAGTTGTGTGGTGTTGGAAATTTAAGTTTCAAAGCAAGTAATTTCTCACAATTTTTAGGCTCGAGTTGCTGGTTCTGGTTGTGAGAAGAGACTGGAAGTGTTACAGGCAGAGCATGAATCCCTGAAGGTGGAATATGAGCAACACAAGCAAAAGGTGAAGTGCTTTCAGATGCATCTGCTGTTGCTGGTGTAGAGGTGCACACTTGGGTAATGTACCCCTTGGTGTAGTTGGAAATTTGGTGTCTAGAAGGTGGTTTGGGATTGTATGGTCTTCTCAAAATGGACTTTCCTTTCTAACGGCACTTCTGAAAGTCAAAGCACAATGGATTAGCTGAAAGCTTCATTACAAAAAAGGTTCTGTGTCTTCTCATTCTCACAGATGACTTTTGAATTTGCTGAGAGAAATAAATTTATTGAACAGCTGCAGGAAAAAGTGTCTTCCCTGGAAAAAAAGCTAGAAAGGAATCTCTCAGGAGATGAACACGTGCAGGAGCTGCTCAAAGAGGTAATTATATAGTTATAGACTGCTTAGAAGTGCAATCTTAGTGAGATTTTTTTTTAGGACATACATTACTTCTCACCCATGGAAAGAATAGCTGATGATGTCATGCAGGCACATTTGTCCCTTCAGTGTGTTTTGGCACTCTGTCAGTGCTGGGCAGAACGTGTGGGAGGCTGCACTGAGCCTGGTTGTGTAGATCCTGCGCAGATGTCTGTGCTGGCCTTTCTGCATTGTCCGTTTGGGCAGTGCATCTGGCTGCTTAGAAGGAAAGGAGCAGCTTTTTAACATCCCCACAGGAGATGGGACAATTTGGGAGTTGTTTTGGTTAATCCTGGCAAAAACAGTGAACGTTTTTCCTTGTTCTTTGGCGAGGCAGTGGGACAGGGAGGGGAACTGTTTGCATGTAGGTGTGCAAATAGAACCTGAGCCTCGGAAACCAGACACTTGGCTGTGGTTAGTGCCCTTTCTCTCACTGCTTCTCCGTGTCTTTCTCAGGCAGCGATGCTCCTCCTCACAATCAGCTGGAGCAGTGTTTCCCCAGCTGGGTCCTGGGGAGGCAAGGGAATGTTTGCTCTTCCTGGATCAGGCCTACAGTCACATCACCTTGGTGTTGCTGTGATAAAAGAACTTGTCTTAGTAAACTAGGGCCAGTTTAAAGTCCATGTAGAGGTACTAAAACATTTTTGAAAGTAACTACCAGAACGAGGAAATGTTCTGTGTGTTTTTGTTTGCGTATTTGCTGTGATGCAGGAAAAGTTAAGCTTCATGAAAGATTTTTTTTAATCCCTTAATCTTGGCCTGGGTTACAAAATGATGACCTAGCTGCTGGTTAAGGCTTACATCTGGATTGTGGCAGGATGCCAGGGAATTTCTCATTCTTAATAGAAACGGTATCATCTGCAGGGCAACAGGATCTGTGGAGGCCCTATACCCTAGTATCAAACAAACTTACTGGTTCCCAAGAGCAAAGCTGTATTGCACATCAAAATTCCTGCTCCATTCTAGTTTGACCTTACTAATGAAACAAAAAGAAAAATTTTAATTTTAAAAAATCCTCAAACCTAATCTCTTTGTCCATTCTTCCTCCCGTTCTTCACCTCAACGTAATCTTCAGAAAGCTGCTCTTGAGCAGAGACTGGATGAGACCAGGCAGCAGGTACTGACAGACAGAACACATAACACCGAGACTCTGAACCGGTTGGAAACACAGGTGAGTAGTTTTTAATTTCACTACAAATTCTGACTGTTTTCATCCTCTTTGTGCCCTCTCCCTCCTCCCCTCGCTATACTGGTGCTCTCAGCCAATGTGAGCCTGCATGTCACATCTGGTCTTGAAAGGAAAGAATTGCTCAGTGTCTCTGGTCACCTCCCCACCTTCAGTGGTGGAGAGGGGCCTAGAGGTGGTAGGAGTAGAGGTTTTGTCCTAAGAAACAAATAGCTCAAGTGCTGGGGGTAGTGCTGATGTAGCTTTTAAAACCAGCATGTGTCAACTAGGCAGCCTCTCTGATCTCTGTGGTTTCATGGGTTCAGTGCTTACCTTCCCCTCCTGGGTCATCCTATATTATGCACATTTTTTTATAATAACACAGATGCCAATGGATAAGGAATTTAATGTACTGTGTTCTTTTAGAATAAAGAACTGGAACAAAAACTACAGATTGCAACAGAAGCATTGAAAAAGAGCAAAGAAGCAGCTGCTGAGCAGGATCTGAAGATCCAGAAGCTGGTGAGTATCCTGCATGTTTCACTGACAAGTAGCAGATAATCTTCAGCATCCCCAGAGACTCCCACTTCTGTTTGTTTTGTTACTCCAGTGTTTTCTTGCTGTTTGTCTCCTGAACTGCTGTCAGTGAGTACATGACACTGCTGCCAAAGGAATAATATTCCTCAGTTTGAGTCTCATGGAATGGTGTCTGATCTTGTCAGTGTCAAAATACCATTTTATTAATGCAGTGTTCTTTATTTCTCATAAGCAAACTGATCTAAAGCACGAAAGAAGTCAACTGCAACAAAAGATTTCAAGTGAGAAACATCAGCATGATCAGAAGGTTGCTGGGCTGGAGTCTCAGATTGCTGCTCTTGAAAAAGCTCGGGAATTGGATAAAACAGCGTCTCAGCACAGGATTGTAAGTGCAGAAACCGTCTGGAGGGCCATGGGAGTCTTCACAAAATGATTTCAACACAGCTTGTAGAACTTTCTTGTCATCTGGGTGTTCTTATCCAGTACTCCTGGCATTATAATAGAAGATTTCATGCTTTGGGGAACCAAACAGGAACAAAGCATGTGACGTGTTTAATTGTTTAAACAAAGCATTAGAGCAATTATACAATTGTACTGAGTATTTAAGCAATCTTTCTTTTACAGAGCCAGTTGGAAAAAGAAAACGGAAATCTTACCAGAAGCAGAGAAGAGTGTGAGGGTTCTTTAAAACAGCAAGAGGCTGAACTGGACAGGCTAAAGGTGAGGGCTGAGCTGGGCGGTGACTTTGGCTCGTACAGAGCTGAGGTTGGGGAACAGGGAACAGCACAGCGTTCCATTCAGCTCTTGGAGGCCCATTACATTCAGGTTGCAGGTACTTGGGGCTGCAAATCATCTTTGGTACTCATAGAAATGTGTTTGAGAAGCATTACAAAGGGTTGATCCTTTTCTGAAACGGAATGCTTGGGTCTGCCTAAATCAGGCAGAAGTAATACAATATCATATTGTCAAGCATGAAGAGCTTGGAAATCCTGTTAGCAGGGATGGATACAGAATGGTTCAACATCAGATTCCACTCACAGTGTTCAAAGCAAAAAGTTAAAAACTTAAATTGGTCTGGTATTTACATCTTACCCAATTTTGACTGTAATTTTATACTGTTGAAAGTTTTCTGTAGCTACTCTTGGATGCTCAGTTGGAATAAAGATCAGTTGTAGCAAGGAGCTGCTTCTTTGTAAGAGACTTCAAGCTGGAAGACCTTTTAAACATGGGGTTTGTTTGGCTCTTACATCAGTTCTGTATTGCTCTTGCACGTGCAGATTGCAGCAGTCAGTAACACAAAACTAACTCTCATTTGGAAATCATGGTGTTCCAGAACCCTCATAAATCTCATAAATCTAGTCCTAATTATTTGGGGTTTAAAGATGAAAGACTGACTTGATTTTAGTTGTCTCACATAACCTCTCGATTACTTCTGATTTGCAGAATGAGTTGAGCAGTAGAGAGACTGTCAGTGTGGAAATTGCCAAAGCACTGGAAGAAACACGGAAACAGAGAGAGGAATTACAGCAGCAGGTTGGTTAATACTGATGGTCTCCCCACCTTTCACAGAAAGAAACCTGTTCATTCTGGTTTGTTCCCTTCAGTGCCTGTATCACATCTGGGTCCCTCTGGAGCACAGCAGTTGTAAAATTGTACACTTCCTCTTAGGGAGGAGCTTGTATCCAGTAACCAGCTGTCAATTCTAAGTAGTCTTGTTTTGCTCTTCCTGCATAAAAAACGCTGGATAACGTGAGCTTGTGTTTGCTTCAGGCAGGAACTGCCAGCTGAGCGAGTTTGACTGAAGTTAGTGCCATCTTTTGGTTTCTTTATTCTTCTGGTACAGATGTGGGCTTGCAGGGGTAGAGGGGGTTTAAGGCCATCTCCAGTTTTGCTCGGTGACTTCTGCAGCTGCCACCTGCTGCCTGTGACAGTCTGTGATGGTGGCACAGGGTTCATCAGAAGCCAAGTGTGGTTTAGCTCTTCCAGCATGAACTTCAATGCCTTTTACTGAGGTCAGCGTTGTGGAGGTGATGCCTGCTGAGCCTCTGAGCTGTGTTGAAATCTTTCAATGCCCTCCTCCTGTTTTAGGTCTTTAATGACTTCTGTTTGTTTGTCCACTTTGAAGGTTTCACATCTGAATGCTCTGATAAAGGAGAAGGACCAGCTGATAGATGAAAAATGTGATCTGCTGCTAAAACAGAAGGAAGAACTGAACCAACTCAGTCAAGGTTAGACCAAACAAGTTCTCCTGTATCCCAGACACCTCTGTCTAAGGACAGTCTCTAGAGCTGGCCTTGCTTCTTTGCACCAGTTTAAAAACTCTGCTTGCTTGATAAAGAGCAGCTGCAAACTGGTACTCCACAGTCATACTAAAAAGGAAGTTCCTAACCCCACCGGTTTTGTGCGTTGCTGATATTTGGAAAGGGGATAAAACTGTGGCCTCGTGTTGCCCTGTTCCCTTGGTGAGCTGTGTGTCTGTGGCCATGGGTCCCCACAGCTCAGCCCCAAGTGATCCTGGGCAGTCTCAGCACAAGTCACACAGACTGTTGATGGGGGTCTTCTAATTGATAATTATGTTGTTATGTGTATATGTACAAATGTGTATGCATAAAGTTTGGCTGCTCCTTTGCAAAAACGTGTGATTTAAATTCCCCCGTTTTTCTGTCTTCATGACAGAGCAAGGAAGAAGGTCAGGGTTTATTCTCTCTGTAATTTGCTTTGTTTTAGAAAATGGATTAGAGACTCCCATTGGATGTGGAACACTGACACTAAGCAGGTCTCTCTGTTCTCAGATCACGAAGCTGCCTTGCTGCAGGTGAACCAGTTGCAGTCTGACATAGAAACAAGTCAGAACCAAGCAGTGGAGAAAGAGGAAATGGCAAGAAAGGAAATTGAGGAGCTGAAGTTGCAGGTACAGGAGTGCCTGTTGGCCAGAGAACATGAGAAAGATGTGAGTGCAGTTGCAAATCCGTTCTCTCAGACTTCCAGGAAAATAGGCAGCTGTGCAAGAACCCCCCAGCTCTGTCCTGCCTGGTGACACATTCTGGGAGCTGTTTGCTCAGGTCCTGCAACACCAGGTCCTGAGAACATTGTTGTTTGTTGTTCCCTGTCTTCCTAAAGAAGGCTGTTTCCTGTCAGATCTGTGGCTGACTTATGAAAGACAACTCCTTACTTTATTTGACTCTTAAAACGTCTTGAGAAAACCATTGTGAGACCAATGAGACAGAAGTAGTAAGCAGGCCAGTGACAAGTGTAGCCAACTAGATTGCCACTAATGCTTTCTGGTTTAAAAAAGCATCCACCACCACCCCAAAAACAACAACCAAAAAGAAGTCTGGCTTTCTCCCTAGGCAGTGTTCATGGGGTGAACATCATGATATCTCTCCAATTCACTGTTTATTTTTACAGGTTTTAGAACTGGAGGAGTCAACAAGGACCTTGAACAATGAGCATTTCCCTTCTCCAGAAAATTGTGTGGTGGAACAGAATGGAGAGGTGGCCGCTGCAGATGTCATTCAACTTCAGAAGGATAACAGAGAGCTGGAACAGCAAGTTGCTGAGAAAAACAAGGTGAACTGAAACAGCAGAAATAGGTGGTAGTCTTTCCCCTTTTAATTAGGAAGCCCAGTAATTGGTGCTGCCCATGCTGCAGCCTTAAAAAGACAGGCATGTCCAATTTGAATCCAGTATGCTGTGAGTAAATGTTTTTCCTCTGATTTGTACAAGGATCTACCAGCCATGGATAAAAACTGTGGTGAGAGCTGTATGAATCCTTATCTTGAAGGAAAGATGCAGCAAAGGATACTATCTACAGCTTTCCTGCAGAGCCCTTTAGTGTGAATTCAGTTCAGTTCCACGGTGCTGCCCCATGAAAGCCCCAGTGTCGTGTCAGGTGCCTGCTGCTGGCGAGGCTCTCAGGTTGCTTCTTCAGAGCTGCCAGCATTGGCTAATGATGGTTTCATTCATTACTCATTTGTTATGGGGTTTTCCAGATATCTGGGGGTCCTGACAATGAGTACTGTGGTTAAACTGTCCCTTGCTGTGCTTACAGATGATAAAGCAGCTGCAGCAAAGAATGACAGAACTCAAGAAAACCCTTCAGAAAGAGCTGGTAAGGATTGTGTTTTTTCAGTCTCATCAGCTGGCACTTGCTGACAGGCCCTTGTACTGTCATTGCAAAAGCTTGACTGCTAACTCCCCTTTAATTCCTCATGCAATAGTTTTCCTCTCCAAGAAAAAAAAATCTATTTGGAAAAACCAGAGGTTTTAAAATTGTAATTTTTGTTCTGCGCTTGAAAATTGTCTTGAAGAAAGCCCAGGTTTGAAAGGCTTAGAGCATATCAGTGACAGGAGAAAATTACCAGGGCAGAGTTTCTAGCAGGGAGCCAGTTCCATGGTGCTTTGGGTAATGTACACATAACACTGACAGCAAACAAATCCTGCCCTGGAGTCCAGGGGGAGCTGGAGACACTTCTCTGCTGTGACCCCATGAAGGATGAGAAGCTGTTGATGCCCAGGTTGTACCCAGCTGTGGATACAACCCTCTGTTAGATATCCTGAACCCAGATCCCCTCTCAGTACCAAGCAGATAGTCTACAATATATTTCTCTTGTTCTGGTTTTCTCTTCTTGTTTGTAGAAAATCAGGCCTGACAGTGAGGTCCCTGAGCTCCGTGAGAAAGCCAGTTCTGAAGTGCCTAATGCTGCTGTGACTGTCACCAACAACTCGGATCTGAACGACTCGAGGGAGATAAACTTTGAATACCTTAAACATGTCGTACTAAAATTCATGTCCTGCCGGGAATCTGAGGTAAAGGTGTCACTTACCTTCTCTTTCTGTGCCTGTCTTTCTCTAGAAATTGCTACCTGTCACCTGATAAGGACACTTTATGCCAATTCCATCATTTTATACTTAAAAAGTGTACAGTGGGGGACAATGAAACGAAATGGCTAACAGCAGTGTGTTTGGAAGTACAGATTATTATGAACTACCTGAAAGGGAAATGTGAATTTTTAAGAGGTAGTTACATCTGGATGTTAAAATCTGCATCTACAAGAGATCCCTTCTGCGTCGCTCTGGAAAGCATATGGATTATGTAACTAATTAAAATGACTGTACATTGAAGAAGGAAAAAAAAACCAAGAGAAAAAGACATATACCACTTGCTGTTGGTCTGTAAGAGGTAATTCCTTGTGCATTTGGAGCTCCCTCCCGTTTTCCACATTGTGTCAAAAGAGCCAACAACAGGTAATTCAAGTCAGTGGGTGAGGTCAGAAAGTAATCCTACAGCTTCATGGTATCCCGAGTGCTTGACTGCTCCTCAGAGTGTTACCAGTATGGAGCTAATGGAAATTATAGGATTCTCTCCTGCCTCCATTCTGGTTTGATCAACTTTTTAAAGCTTAAAAAAGTAGGAGCCACAGGAGCCAGGCTGCTTCTCTGTTCTAACTAACTAGGCTCCCCATTTGTCTTCTTTCTCCAAAACATGCAAACAATTGTTAAAGAACAGAAAGCCAGGAAAGAGAGACAGACAAAGTAAGATACAGGCCATCCCAGCCCATGGAATGGGATAAGGGGAGGCTGCTGGTCTGCTCAAGTCTATGACAGAGCTGCAGAAATCAGGGCTGCACCACAGTCCAGCGTGCAGAGCCCGAGAGCATCATAAGCAGCACACCCCTGTGGTTTCTTTCAGGCATTCCATCTCATTAAAGCTGTGTCTGTGTTACTGAATTTTTCACAAGAGGAAGAAAACATGCTCAAAGAAACTTTGGAGTACAAGGTAAGAGTTCTGTGCCATGTGTAGTCTCTAATGGACTCCCAGCAGAGGGAATGAAAATTCCTAGATGCTGGGAGATCAGGAAAAGTGTCTTTTCCAAATGTTAGCTACAATAATAAATGTAATTTATTATTAAAATGTTAGCTGATCACATGCCTATGTGTCAGAAATTGTCCCTTTCAGCAAGGGAAATAGCAGCTTCCTGGTGCTCAAAGGAGTTCCAGCAGAATTTGCCCAGTGGACTTGGTCTGTGGAGGGAAGGTGGAAGCTCCTTGCAGGAGCACAGTCAGTGTTTCAGCATCAGGGAGCTGAATTCTGGGTTTGTCCTTTTGACCCCAAGACCTGTGTCTCCTTTCCGTGGCATGAGATGAGATCTGCATTGTCCCTGTGTGCAGGGAATGTTCAGTAGTGAGAGCTGCCTCAGCTCCCTCCATGTCCCACATCACATTGTTTCAGGTGTGTGCAGTGTGAGCCTGGTGTGAGGTGTGTTGTGCTTTGTGCCCTAGATGTCCTGGTTTGGGTCGAAGCCGTCTCCCAAAGGCAGCATCCGGCCGTCCATCTCGAGCCCGAGGACTCTGTGGCCTTAAGGGAACCTGAAGGTGGAGTCAGCACCCAGGCACTTCTTTCTGTGAAAAGAACGCTGAACACACTGCTCCAGGTGTGTCTTAATCACTGTCATTGCAGTATTTTGTACAAGAACTTCTGGCTCTGTTTACAAAACTAATACTGTGCAAGGAGAAGTTTTCCCTACAGATGGCCACTCCTCTGGGCTGGACCGGGGACCGTCCCGGTGTCTGTGACGGGAGCAGCTCCTTGTGCTCCCCAGTCCTGTGTTCTTGGCGCCAAAGGGTGATGACAGCCTCACTGACAGCAGTGCTGGTGGGATGTGATTCCAGCTGCTGTTCCAGAGTGCTGGAGTTGAGGCACTCCAGGCACTGCTTGTGTGGCTGTGGGAAACCAGCAAGGAAAAACGTGTTGGCAGAACTGTGCTGAGTGTGTGATGGTTTGCAAAGCCTTTCACGGGACAGGAGCAGGAGCTTTAACCAAAAAAAGAACTCTGCCTTGCCTTCTTATACTGACATAACTAATGGTTGGCATTTTTTCATATCACTGTGTAATTTAAGGTGCACATATCCTGGCCTGCAGCCCTCAAGGCTGCATGTTGATGATGATTATTTAATTTGAGAGCACAACTTTAGAGTTGTCTGATTTTACTTTTCTTAAAGAAAAATAATATTTAAAATGGTCTTAATTCTAGTACCTAATCCTCAGTCGCCTTTGAAACTAATCCATTAGCCTGTTCCATGGGTTGTTAGCAGTGGGAAGAAGGGGTAGGAAACTATTTTAAATTTTTAAAGCTAAAGTCTAGGTATTGTAAATCCACATTGAAAAATAGCTTTTATTTAAAAAAAAATAAATAAAAATCTAGTGACAAAGGGTGAAGAATATTGGTACTAAACACGTTATTTTTTTTTCTTCCAAGTCTGCTAGCAACAAATCTTCATAACCAGGATCTGCCTCTTTGGTTGTGGTTTTCTGTACTTCAAATACTGATGCTTAGAAATGGTTATCAACATGTTAACTGTGTCCTGACTACATCGTAAAAGAAATGCTGCTCATGAGGGTTTTGAGGGCAATATTCAAATCCTAATGAACAAATCTTGGTTCCAGCAGCTTGTTTTCTTAGTAAAACCATAGGGAAAGGGGACCAAGGTGGCACATGCCTCACAATGGAAGCAACATTTTGCCCATAAACACTATTGCAAAATCTGGATCCAATTGGGAAGCAGCAATAAGTTTGACTTCTTATAAATGAGACCTGTTTCCAAAAAACTACACACAGAATTCAGTGAGCAGGCTGCAGTTCTGGGAATTCTCTTAGAAGGAGGTTCGTGTTACTAACAATACTTCTATAAAATATATTCAGGATACTTCAGCCTGTTCTCCAGTGGAGATCCAGTCACTGTTGAGGTGTTTAACTTTGCTGACAGGGCTCTGACTGGCCGTGGAGTGGCTGTGGAGATGCAGTTGGAGGTGCAGCAGGTGAGCTGATCCTGCCTGCCTCCATGCACACCTGTGCTGTGCCCGAGGGGAACTCCTTCAGGTGAGGTCAGTCAGCAGAGAGGATCCAGAGCCCAGCTGGCCTCCCAGGCAGCCACATCCCTGGAGCTGTTTCCAGGTACTCCCAGGAGCTGTTGCCTGGGCACAGGTGACACTCCTCAGCTTAGATTTATCTGAAGTTAAGAAAACCAACGGGATTTTTTTGTACACTAAAGCTTGTCCAAACAGTCTTTAGTAACTGGACCCATGGCACTTCCAGAGGGGACAGAACAGTTCCTGTAATGTTCCAGCTCTGCTCTACGGTGAAAATAGACAATCAAAAAGTAGATTTATCTCAAGTTTTCCTACTGAGACACAGCAGGGTGGAAAAACCCTGTTTGTTCTGAAGAGCTTTTATTTTCGGAGGTCTTTTTCTTTCAAATGTCCCTTTGCCCTCCCTGTTTCTGTGGGACCAGGGGTCAGGATTCCCTGGCTCAGGTTGATGCCTGCTGAATGACTAATGGGTTTACACTGATCCTGGCTTGAAAGGTTACTGAACAATAAGGAATGCAGGACAGGCAGCCTGGAATAGTGACAAAATCCTAGGTTATACATTCACTAACAACTTCAATTTCAGATCCCAAAGCTCATACAGGATCAACTTACCATAAATTAGTTCTTAAATGTTGGATTTTCATTAGATATCAGAGCAAGACTGGTGTGTATACCTGTATTAAAAAGCTAATGCACTTTCCCTTGTCTCAGAACAGTGGTTATACATAATCCTTTCTATAGCCATTGGATTTCTTTCCTTCTATGCTGTAAATATGGATTGTATGATGAGACACTATGAAATTTGTGGTGCAATACATTTTGGATCAAACCCCTAGTCTTGATTTCTTTCTCCTTATAGTTCTGGTTATCTCCCCTGGGATTCTATAGCTATTTAAAATAGAATTTTAAAGCATGACCCAAACCCCCCCTTTTTTCCAGGGTAAGGGTGGGTGTCCCAGCAGTGCCACCAGGGCCTGTCTCCCAGGGAGCTGTGCCAGCAGGGAGGTGGAGCTGCTGCCTCCCAAACCCCCTCTCACCAGAACAGCTGCTGCTGCACTTTGAGCAGCTGATGGAAACAGGACTGGGTGGGGCAGGGCCTCCCTGCTCCCTGGTGCCAAAGGGCAGGAGTCCTGCCCAGGGAGATGTGGCTCCTGCCAGGGCTGGAGGAGTCGTGTCCTGCCTGGGCAAAGCTCAGGTCAGACCTCTGGGGCAAAGGACACACTGACACATCCATTACACCTGACTGTCTAGCACGGACAAGAATGTAAAAGCCGAACCCAGGGTGATGATGTGTTCTCTTCACTGCATCTTGAAAGTCTAGATTGGAACAGCTATGCTTGGTCTCACTCCTACACCCAGGTTAGAGCTGTATTTGAGAACAAATCCTGTAAGGAGGTGGAGTTAGGAGCAGTCATGCAAAGGTGGACTCTTAGCTTGGACTTGGTTATTGCTGGCCTGCTTTGGAATAAGTGTCAGACAGATGGTTTAGCTAAAAATAAATTAACTCATGTGATCCAAGGACTTTATTGATGCAGCAGGCACTTCACTTTACATTAAACCAACCCAGAGTCCAACCAAGTCCTTCTCTCCCACGTACAAAGCCACCATTCCAACACCCCCTTCTCCCACCACCAGCTGCAGGATCTCGCTGGCCTGGCCACAGCTACCTCAGAACTAAGCAGGAGAGGGGATCGTGTATCACCACACCTGGGTACAGCAGCATCTGAAATACCTGTTCACTTACAGTAATAGGAGGCAGGACTGTGCCTTCTCTCTGCCTGTTAAAGAAGGGAGCAGGAGAATGTCATGGCTCCTGGATGTGATAGTCGGAATATGCAGGAATACCTTTTCTCTTCCCCCACCTTTAAGGTTAAAAGCATTCCAAGAGGAGGTTACTGTAGGATTTCAGTAGATTGTAATCTCTATAGATGGACCAGTGTTGTTTCAGCTCATTCCTTCTGAGTCCAAACCTGACCGTTGTCTCTGTCCAAGTTAACAGTCTTTAAACAGTCTTTCTTGCTGTAAGAACTCTTACTATGGAGCCCAGTCCTCCTACTGCCAGTGCCTGTGGGAAAGGAGAGAGGTTACAGAGCCACTGCGTCGCACACAGAACAAACAGCTGAGTGTTTAGCCGAGAAAATGTCCTTGTCCAAAATCTAACCATCTTCTGGATCTTGAGGACACCAGTGCTGCACACCACTGATGAAGCAGAATGTCTCACCCCTGTGTCCCTGAGTGGGAGAGGAGGAGGAAGGGCTCCTTTCAGTTTCATTTGTGTCCCTCAGTGTCAATGACATTTCCTTCTGAAGTCCAGAAGATGGAGGTGATTATGAAAAAGTAAATATTAAAGCTGACTGCTGAAAATGGGGCGTTTACTCTGCAGCTACAATTCCAACAGAGCAGGATGAGCAGGTGACTGGATGAATGCAAAGCACCCCCTCAGAGCAGAACCTGCAGGTGCTGCCAGACCTGCCACAGCCCTTTTGCAGAGGACAGACTGGTACTACCACTGAGCTGACTCCTCTCTGAGCAAGCCACACATCCTACCGGTAGCACCACACAAGAGAACACAAGGCTTTAAACCCTGCCCAGCCTACTCAGCCCTGCCCAGCTCCTTTCACAACTGAGGATGAGCTGCCTTGCGTGTGCCCACACGCTCTGAGCGCCGGCACCGCTCCCGTCAGGGCGTGCTGTGTCACCTCCCACGCCGGGAGCACCCACCACAGTCACCTGGAAACACCCCGGAGGAAACAACAGGGAAAAAAGAAAAAAACAAAAAAGCAAGCAGAGACATGTTCTTTGCTGTCCTGAGAAATCCCCTCCTCCCTTGCCAGGGCTGTGCAAAGCTGGTGGCAGCTGCCAATAGCTGGAGTCACACTACACCAGCTCTGCCTTTACCATCACGGGGAAAAGCCCTGCACCCTGTGAAATGACACCGTGTTTGCAGCAGCTGCCCTGCACAGGGAGGGCATTCCCAGGGATCAGTTTTCCTCAGATGAGCACTGACAGCCTGGGCTGCAGCTAAAACCCCTGCAGCGGGGAAGAGGTCACTTGGATTCCTGCCCAGGGGCAGTGGCAGCTGCTCCAGGGATGTGCCTCATCCCCCCACAGAGAGGGAAGAAGGTCCCACGGTCAGCTGCTGAACACATCCCACCTTCCCCATGTGGGGATTGCATTCTAAAGAAACACAAGAGGCCCACTCTGGACCCCAATGGAATCTTTTTGGAGACCTCAAAAGCGTCTCCTGGGCAAACCAAGCAGTTTTGCTAAATCCTGTGACTCAAACAATAAAAACTATCAGATCTGAGCCAGGCTGGACCCCCCTGGGCTGAACATTCACTGCAGAGGCAGCTGCTGCAGCTGCTCCCTCCATCCAGACACATCCCCACTGCCTCCCTTCTCCTCTGGAGCCGCTGCAGGCGTTGGGCACCGACTCCTCCTCCAGCACACACTGCCCTGTGCCCGTGGCAGGGTTTGGAATACAGGCAAAGGCTTTGTGAGTCCAGGCTCAGAGACCACAGATAGAAGCAAACACTGTGCTTCTCAGGGATGAGGCCCTGCCTGCACCCGATTCTCTTGCAGGGGCCCTCCCAAAACCACTGACTGGGACCCTCTGAGTGCCCTGAACACGTACCTTTTCATGCCACTGAAGTAATATTGCACTGCTGTTTTCTGTTGGCTTTTCAAATCCTTTATAAATGTACTTCATTAACAAGTCAACACCGTTTCTGTCTAAGGAATTCACCGCTTGTTCTATTTCACTGCTTTTAAAAGATGTGAGGACTTTAAGCATCGTTCCCTGGGCCTGCTCCTGAGAAGACAAGGAAAGGAGAGGAATGTGAGAACCCCACAGCTGGGAACGATTCCAGGACTCACGTTTGAGAAAAGGTGGCCACGTTCCAGGCTGGGCTATTTCTGCAGGGTGAGCAGCTGAGCAGCCCCGGGGTTAAAGGAGGAGGAGGGGAGAACGCCCGGGCATCACCCGTGTGAGGACACGGCCCGTGACCGCGGCAGCGCAGGAACCCCCCGGGAGCTGATCAGCTCCGGGAGACACCGTCACCTCCCAGCTCCCGACCCCCGGCCCCGCTACCTTCATCGCCTGGTTCCTGGTGTTGCCGGGGGAGCTGCGGATGGCGGTGTGGAAGGCTCGGAGCGCCTCCCCTGTGCGGGGGGTCAAGGACTCAAACCCTCGGTACCGGGGCAAAGCCGCGCCACGGCCGCGGGGGGGGCCGGTCTGGTCCCGCCTCCGCCCCCCGGGACCCCCGTCCCCCGTCCCAAAGGATATTGCCTGAGCAGCGCCTCCACCTCGGGGCTCGCATCGGGCTCGGCCGCCGCCGCCTCCTCGGGCTCCTCCACGAAGCGGTTCTCGTCGTACTGGTCGATGTCGAGGCGGCGGAAGCGCGAGGAGAGGGTGCTCCGCGCCATCCCCGCCCGGGCGGGATCGGGACCGGGACCGGGAGCGGGGAACGGGAACAGGAACAGGAACAGCATCAGCGCAGCCCGGCGGAACCGGAACCAGCGCGGCCGCCGCGCCCCGCCCGGGAGGGGGCAGCGGGGAGCAGCGGGGCGGGGAGCGGGGCGGGGCCGGGGGCGGCACCCACGCGCGGCTTTATTAACGACACAAGAGAGCCTGAAAAAAATCCGAACGACGACTTTAATGTACAAATCCCGTCGCTGCAGCAGGCTCGCGGGTTTAACCGGAATCCCGAGGAAAACGGAACAAACCGGGAACGGGGAACAACCCTTCGACCGCTTCACTGGGATCCACGAACACTCGGACAAGGCCCCGGCACGGGCGGCCCCGGCCCCGCCGCACGCCGGGCACGGACTTTGCTGCTGAAATTTCTTAAAACTTACCAAAACAAAAAGCTGAACAAAAGACGGGCCCGAGCAGCTCCCAGAGTGCGGGGTTAAAGGAATCAGTTCATCTAACCCAGGACTACATGCAGTAGTACAAATTTCAAGGACATATTACAAATACTCTGAAATTAATCTAGGGGAGGGGGAAAAAAAAAACTTGCTACAGACACCATAATACACAATAAATTTAGATAATTTAAAAATAAAAAAGGCAAGAGGCAGCATTTCAGCAGCAAAGTGCTCAATAAAAAGTATATTGTAAAGGGGCAGGACAAGGAGAGGAGAGAGCAGGCGGATGAGGGCTCAGAGGAAGTAGGGCGTGGTTGTCCGGGGAGGAATGACACGCTCTGAGTCTGGAACTGCACGGAATAACTTTGGTTCTCTTGTATTTACATCTTTGAAGACCATGATGGAGGCGATGTTCCCGCAGCGGTAGCAGTAGTTGGGTGCTGACCATACCGTGACCAGCTTCTCATCAAACATGAACTTGTAGCCCTCGTGGACGAGCTGGTGTGCTCTGCAGATCAGCTTCAGGTTGTTGATGTGGACGAACTGCAAGGGAAGGGGGAGGTCAGAGTGCCCCCAGTGCTCCTGGCACAGCCCTGGAGAGCTGAGCAGCGAGGAACCTGAGCAGCTCGGCTGGGAACAGCCAGGCAGCAGCCACACCGCCCTCCCTGCGTGCTGTGCCAGAGCAGAGCCCTGCAAGGCCAGGGTGACAGAGCCCTGAGGAGCTGCTCACTGCTCTCCAGAGAAACAAAACCAACTCAGGAATCGTTAGGAGGAATGGCAGTTTTCTGTTAAACCCTTCGGAAAGCGTTCCACACAAAGCCCAGGGCACACCAGTGAGCATCACCACGTCACACTTTTCAGAAGCAAGGTCAGTGTTAGCACACCTGGCAGTTGTGTTTGTGCTTTTAGGTTCAAATGGCTCAGGCAAAGCTCCCCCAGCAGCAGGAGCTGCTGTCAGGGTGTGATGGGGACTCCTGGGCTGGCAGGGCCCTGGTCCAGTCCCCCCCAGCCCTGCAGTTACCTCGTTGGTGACCTTGGCCCCGAAGAGCCAGCCCGCGCCGCGGGGGCTGATGGCCCACGTGTCCACGTCCTCGGGGTCCGACCACACCAGGTCGCAGAAGGCGCCTTTGTGGGGGATCTCCTGGTTCCGCTCGATGGTCCGGATCTGGTCCAGGGTCTTGATGTCCGGGGAGAGGCCCCCGTGCACGCACAGGATCTGCTCGTCTATGAGCTGCAGGGACAGCCCGTGTGCAGCGCTCAGCACTCCCCCAGCCCCGACGGGCCCAGCCCCACAGCCCCCCAGGCTGCGCTGCCCGTCCCGGGGGCTGCACTTACAGCGGCGATGGTGAGCATGTCGAACACCTTGGTGCAGTACCTCCAGGCGTTGGCGTTCCCGTACTTGGTTTGGCACTCGTCTGTGGGACAGGGTGGGATGGCGTGGATCAGAGGGGCAAACGCTGAGAGCAGCTCCTGTGAACTCTGTGCCACAGGAGCCCCACAAGGGGCTGAGCTGTGCCTGTCTCTAAAACTGAAGGTGGCCCCAGAGACCCAACAGAAGCCCACGCCAAAGGGCAGAGCAGGATGTGCCTCAAACACCTTCCAGACACAGCCCCAGCAATGGAATGGATGGGAACACCCCGGTGCACTGAGCCAGCCCCCAGAGAGCCCTGGGCACTGTCAGGCAGGCAGGCACTCACCGTAGAACCCGTACACCTGGGTGATCTGCCTGCTCTCGTGGTTGCCCCTCAGCAGCGTGATGCGGTCGGGCCACTTGGCCTTGAGGGCCAGCAGGTACGTGAAGGTCTCCAGGCTGTAATAGCCCCGGTCTACGAAGTCCCCCTGGAGGCAGAGACACCGTTCGTGCACAGCCCCCCAGCAGAGCACACGGGACACCCCCCGAGCCTGCGGGGAGCCCGGGAGCGCCGCTGGGAGCCGGGCCCCGCACGTACCATGAAGATGTAGTTGGTGTCGGGGACCTGCCCGCCGGTCCGGAACAGCTCGCACAGGTCATAGAACTGCGGGAGGAGACACGCGTGAGGGGGCCCCGCACCGGCCCGGCGCTGCGGCGGGGGCAGCCCGGCCCGGCGTTACCTGCCCGTGGATGTCCCCGCAGACGGTGACGGGCGTGGAGACGGGCTGGACGTTGGACTCTTCGAGCAGCAGGTCACACACATAGTCACACAGGCGCTGCGGGGGCGAGCGGGCAGGGCCGGGGTCAGCGCCGGTACCGCGGTCCGCCCGCCCCCTCGCGCGGGCGGCCCGTCCCGGCGGCCCCGTGCGCGCACCTTGAGGTCGTTCTCGGGCAGGTACTTGCACAGCCGCGCGATCTCCACGTACTTGTCCAGGTCCAGCGGCGCCATCTTGGCTCGGGGCTCGGGCCGGAAGCGGGGCCGCCACTTCCGGCCAGCGGCGCGCGCCTGCGGCGCAGGCGGAAGCACGGGGACACTTCCGGCGGCACTTCCGGTCCGGGCGCGGCGATGGCGCTGCGGGCGCTGCCGGAGCTGCGGGAGGGGGAGCGGCCCCGGGCCGGGCGGTGGTGAGGGGACAGCGGGACAGGGGGGACAGGGGGACAGGAACCCGGGCAGGGCGGTGGTGAGGGGACAGCGGGACAGGGGGACAAGGGGACGGGACAGGGCGGTGGTGAGGGGACAAGGGGACAGCGGGACAGGGGGACGGGCACAATGGCGGGGACAGCGCGGGGCCCCGCGGCCCGGCCCGGCCCGGCCCTGTGTGAGCCCTCGGTCGCCCCGCAGGTACCGGCTGAGCCCGCGCGGGGAGCGGCCCCGCGCCCGGGTGGGACTCGGCTGCCTCGCCCTGCCCGGCCGCGTCCTCCTGCTGGGCGGCGCCGACCCCGCCGGCGCCTTCGCGGACGCGCATTTCGTGGAGCTGGGTGAGGGCCGGGGCCGGGCAGGGCCGGGCGGGGCGCCCCGGGGTGCCGGGCCCGCTCCGAGCGCTGTCCCCGCCCGCAGCCCCGCTCCGCTGGGTCCCCGCCGGCTGGCGGGGGCTGCGGCCGCGCTACGAGCACGCCACGTTCCTGCCCGGGCCCGGCCCCCCGCGCCCATGGGTGTTCGGCGGCGCCCACCCCGCCGGGAACCGCGGCTGTGTCCAGGCGCTGGACCCCGGTGAGTGGCGGGGCGGGCGGGCGGGGCGGGCGTTCCCTCCCCTGTGCCGCTAACCCGATCTCGAGCAGGAACGGGCACCTGGGAGAGCCCCGCCGTGAAGGGGTCGCCGCCGCAGCCCCGCACGTTCCACACGTCCTCGGCCGCCGTCGGGGCCCGGCTGTTCGTGTTCGGGGGCGGGCACCGGGGCGCGGAGCCGGTGCGGGACCAGCGGCTGCACGTGTTTGACACAGGTACCGTGCTCGGTGGGGCTGTGGGGTCTGGTCTGTGGGGCTTCCAGAGTTCCCTTCCTGATGCATCGGTGCTCTGTTTTAGCCACCCTGACCTGGTCCCAGCCGGACACTCGTGGGGACCCCCCCTCCCCTCGCCACGGCCACGCCGTCGTGGCAGTGGGGACCAAGCTCTTCATCCACGGGGGCTTGGCTGGAGATGTGTTCTACAACGACCTGTTCTGCATCGACACGGGTGAGCGTGGGTGATGTGGGCTGTGCCTGGGCCCTGGGGGACCTGGCTCTTTGGAAAGATAGCCCTGTGTTTGTGTAAAGCAGCAGAGCTGGGGCTGGTGTGACCCACAGCCCCTGGCCTGCTCTGCTCCTGCCCCAGGTGACATGAGGTGGGTGAAGGTCCCGGCCACCGGTGACGTCCCCGGGGGACGAGCATCCCATTCCTCGGCTGTGTTCAGGGAGCACCTGTACATTTTTGGGGGAATAGGCCCGGAGGGGACCCTGGATAGCACATACAAGTATCACACAGGTAGGGGCTGCTCTCCCCAGCCAGGGAGCACGGGACCTGCCCTGGGCTCACCCTGCAGGACTCAGTGCTCGAGGCTGGGGCAGGGAACGGGGTCGCTGTCCCTGGGTGTGACAGCTGAAGCTGTGACTGTGTCTTTGCACTGCAGGGAGGCAGCAGTGGACGCTCCTGCAGTTTGAGTCCCCCCTGCCTGCTGGGAGGCTGGACCACGCCATGTGTGTCATTCCCTGGCAGGCTGGGACACAGGGGGACGTGGGAGCCCCCCCAGCTGGGACAGAGCCACCTGTGCAGGGGGACAGCACTGGGCCCCTCCAGCAGGGCCAGGGCAGCACTGAAGACACGGTTGTGCATCTGCTGTTGGTGTTTGGGGGGATGGACACGCAGGGGCAGCTGCACGGGGACTGCCTGGTCACCCTCCTGGAGTAGGGGGCTGTGCCCCCACAGCACCAGCATTCCCTACAGCTGGAGAGGCCCCTGGGGCTGATTTTGCCCTTGGCCCCCCCTGAGGGACAGGGCTCTGCCTGCACAGGGTCCTGCTGGCTGAGGCCTTGCAGCCCCAGGCCAGGGAACTTGCTAAGGTCCAGGGGCTTTGAGGCACTCCTGGAGCTGGCACCACAAAAGCTCCCTCTGGACTCAGTTCAATGTCTTATCTAATCCCATGGATGGGATAAGGATCACAGTTAAAATAAAGAGACCAAATTCCAATTAGATTTTTTTTTTTTATAAGTTGTAGGCTGCTTTTCAGTCTTCAGAAAACTGGCCTGTTTCATGTGAGACTTTAATAAAGCTCTTGAGAAGTTTTAATACTGCAAGGAAGTGTGCTCGTAGTTAAGCCAACCTCCTCCCTCCCTGCTGCGCACCCTCACTGCTGCAGGTGAACCTCTGGATAACTCCCTCTCCCACCTCAAGGAAAGCTGCCCCTGTGGCAGTTACTCAGGCTCCATCCCCCCTTTCTTACTGGGATGTTACATCATACAACTGCAGCGAGGGCAAAGTCCACCAGCTCCCTTCAGAAACCGAGTCCCAGCTCAGTCCAGCTCACCAGATGCCCAACTCCTGCTTTAAAACCTCCCAGCTCTTTTCCTTTCCAGCTTTATCCACTGTAAACTCAGGGCTGTGCAGGGAGACTTGCCCCCAGGTACAGCTGCTCCCTTTTCATAATCCCACGAGTGGTACCTCGGAGGGTGAGCTGCATCCACCCCTCAGGATTAATGCAGCTCCTGGGACTGGGCAATGGAAATCACAGAACTAGAGCAGAGTCCAGTGTAAATAACAAATTTATTGTGGTCACTCCAGGTAGAAAAGCTCTACACCAAGTTCACATGACCAAGTTGTTAAATAGAACGTTCCACTGCCAATACTTCTAAACCCCCATGTACACTCCCCCCCTGCTCCCTCCCCGGACATCGAGCGACTGCTAACGAAAAGCAGGATACAGCCACGTCGGGCTAGCGGTTCCAGCTCCACTCTCGAGTGAAGATTCAGAGTTACATTCCAAATTAAAGAGTTCAATATTTTAAACAATGTTCCTGAGTCCAATATATACACACACCACATTCGGGGACGCCGTATCTACAACTCGTCCTTCTCCGCCGCCTCCTCCTCGCCCGGGGGCGGCCCCGCGCTGCCGTACAGCTTGCTGACGATGGGCTGCACCACCTCCTCCAGCTCCTTCTTCTGGGCCTTGAAGTCTTCGATGTCTCCATCCTGATGGCTCTCCAGCCACTCGATCTTTTCCTCCACTGCCTTCTCTATAGTTTCCTTGTCCTCAGAGGACAGCTTCCCACCCAGCTTCTCCTTGTCCCCGATCTGGTTCTTTAGGGAATAGGCATAGCTTTCCAGCTCGTTCCGGGCATCGATGCGTTCCTTGAGCTTCTTGTCCTCCTCAGCAAACTTCTCAGCATCGTTCACCATCCTCTCGATCTCCTCGGGCGTCAGCCGGTTCTGGTCGTTGGTGATGGTGATCTTGTTCTTGTTCCCGGTGCCCTTGTCCTCGGCCGTGACCCGCAGGATCCCGTTCACGTCTATTTCAAAGGTGACCTCGATCTGGGGGACGCCGCGGGGGGCAGGAGGGATCCCCGTGAGGTCGAACGTTCCCAGGAGATGGTTGTCCTTGGTGAGGGGACGCTCACCTGGAAGACACAAGGAGAGGGTTACCGTCCAGCTGTAGTTTGTGAACCCAGGAGCCAACTTCTATCTACAAAGTATCTACAGCCTTTGTGACAAGACAGCAGCAAGAATAAAACCCTGCAGACTCCACCACTCCCTGGGCCACAAGTGACACCCACCTTCGTAGACCTTGATGGTCACAGTTGGCTGGTTGTCAGAAGCTGTGGAGAAGATCTGGGACTTCTTTGTGGGAACAACAGTGTTTCTTGGGATCAGCTTGGTCATGACGCCTCCGACAGTCTCAATGCCAAGTGTCAGGGGACAGACATCGAGCAGCACCAAGTCACCTGGAACAGAGCAAGGGCAGGACTGTGACACCACTTCAACATCCCAACACTCCAGAGGGGATCCTGCAGCCTAAGGGGCACAGAACTCCAGGGACTGGAAGAGACCCAAATTCTACTGCATTTGCTTGTCAGTGCCCGACATCCACTCTTCAGTCAACACTGAGGTGACAGTGGCGGTGTCATTACCTGTGTCCTGGTCTCCAGAGAGCACTCCAGCCTGGACAGCCGCTCCATAGGCTACAGCCTCGTCTGGGTTAATGCCACGAGAAGGTTCCTTCCCATTGAAGAACTCTTTAACGAGCTGCTGGATTTTGGGGATGCGAGTTGATCCACCAACAAGGACAATCTCATCAATGTCAGACTTCTTCAGGTCAGAATCTTCCAGAACTTTCTGAACAGGCTTCATGGTGGAACGGAACAGATCCTGTGGCGACAAAACCCGCACAACTGTGAGACTGTACTGCCAACATGTCCAGTCTCCTCTTTGTGCCACTCTGGGGTACAAAGAACAAGCACTGCAGAGGAGGGACACCAACTGGCTCACGAGCAGCCTTGGTGAGGCCCCAGTTCCCTGGCAAGGAGCAGCTGCTTGCTGTTCTGTGCAAGCAGGAGTTATTTATACCCCAAAGTGCAATGTCACAGCATGAGACTCTGCACATTCCCAAGTCCCCAGCCCAGAGCAGAGGCCATGTAACTTTACCTTTCCAAACTTACCATGTTCAGCTCCTCAAACTTGGCTCGGGTGAGCGTCTCCGAGAAATCCTCTCCCTCAAAGAAGGACTCTATTTCAATCCTGGCCTGGTGCTGAGATGACAGGGCTCGCTTGGCCTTCTCCACCTCCCTCCTCAGCTTCTGCACAGCTCTGTTGTCCTTCCTCACATCTTTGCCAGTTTTCTTCTTGTAGAGTTTGATGAAATGCTCCATAACACGCTGGTCAAAGTCTTCTCCACCCAGGTGAGTGTCACCGTTGGTAGCCACAACTTCAAAGACTCCATTGTCGATTGTGAGGAGGGAGACATCGAAAGTGCCACCGCCCAGGTCAAACACGAGGATGTTCTTCTCTCCCTCCCTCTTGTCCAGCCCATAGGCAATGGCAGCAGCTGTTCTGTAGAGGGAACAGCCTGTCAGAGCTGGGGGTGGCCGCCCAGCCCTCCCCAGGGGCAGCACAGGGGTGTACTCACGGCTCGTTGATGATGCGCATCACGTTGAGCCCCGCGATGGTCCCGGCGTCCTTGGTCGCCTGGCGCTGGGCATCGTTGAAGTAGGCTGGCACTGTCACCACTGCATGGGTCACCTGGGCAGGGAGGGGCAGACACAGCTCTGTTAGACACAGGACAGTCTGCACAGAGCACCAGCTGCCCAGAGCAGTGCTGGCTCCCCTTTCTTTACACAGAGGTGAAGACCCGTTCAACAGAGGGCCTGTGGGGCCTGCAGCACTGAGTGGGGCTCAGGATGGCATGGGTAGCCCTGACTCACCCCACCCATCTCCCCTTTCCTAAAGCTGCTACTCTAAGTGGGTATTAGGAGCTCCCACGCACTCACTTTCTTCCCCAGGTAAGCCTCTGCAGTTTCCTTCATCTTTGTCAGGACCATCGCAGAAATTTCTTCAGGAGCAAATGTTTTTGTCTGTCCCCCTCCAACATCGACCTGAATGTGGGGTTTGGCTTTCTTCTCAACCACCTGAGGAGAACAATAGATACTGTCTCATTCAATCCTTCATACAGTTGTTAGGACTTGTCCCAGTGGTTTGCTCTCTCTGAAGACCACACAGAGTCTCTGTGACAGATGTAACTTAAGTGTGGTTATCACTAGAAACTCTTGTTCCTCCCAGGAGGGCTGGGGAACCCCAAGGCCGCTAGGAAGGGCACTGTGAGTCAGATGCCTCTTCTGACTGGGGCTGTAGGTCCCTCCCGGGCCCTCCCCCACCCTCGCACTCAGGGCCCACCTTGAAGGGCAGGTACTTGATGTCCTGCTGCACAGAGGGGTCGTTCCAGGTGCGGCCGATGAGCCGCTTGGCATCAAACACAGTGTTCTCGGGGTTAGACGTGAGCTGGTTCTTGGCGGCATCGCCGATCAGACGCTCTCCCTCGGGGGTGAACGCCACGTAGGACGGAGTGATGCGGTTCCCCTGGTCATTGGCGATGATTTCCACGCGCCCGTTCTTGAAGACGCCCACGCTGGGGGTGGGGGAGAGGGGACCGTCAGGCGGCGCCGGGGCCTGCACATCTCCCCCGCCGCCCCTCCCCTCCTCCCGCAGCCTCTTCCCCGCATACCCCGGGGCCCCCAGGCCCTGATCCCCCGCCCCGGCACTGCCCCAGTCCCCACGCACCAGGAGTAGGTGGTGCCCAGGTCGATGCCCACCACCGTGCCCACGTCCTCCTTCTTCTCCTCCTCGTCCGCCCTGGCGGCACCAAGCGCTACCAGCGCCAGCAGCAGAAGCCTCATCGCGACCGCTCCGTGCGCCCACCTGCGGGGTCACAGCGGTTACACAACGGAGCGCCACGTGCGGCCCTCCCCGCGCCGCAACCGCCCGCCCTCCCCGTGCAGAACCGCCGCCCCCCGCCCTTTCCGTGCTCAGAACCGCCGCCCCGACCCCCTCGGCCCGGCCCGGCCCGCGCCGCCCTTACCGTGCCCGGCCCTCACAGAACGCTCCGGCCCCGCCGCGCCCCGATCGCCGCTGCGCCGCCAGGCCCCGCCGCCCGCCCTTTTATACCCTCCGTTACCCCTTCGTGGAGCCTCCCCATTGGCCGCCGCGCCCTCGCTGGAGCCCCCCCATTGGCCGGCTGCGACCAAGCTGGCCTCTCGCGATTGGCGAGCGCCGCGCGGCCGCTCCGCCGTGCCAGGCGCGCCCCCCTCGCGCCTCCCCATTGGTTCCCCCCGGCGGCCCCGCCACGGGGAAGCGCGAGCCAAGCGGAGCCGTCCCATTGGCTGGGCGGGACCACGGCCCGGGGGAAGGGGGAGCACTTCTGGAAGTTTCCATGGTTACCGGGGGGGGGCGCCCCCTCCTCCCGGGGACCCCGGGGGTTACCGGGGGCACGGGGGTTATGGGGGGACCCCGGGGTATCGGGGGTTACCGGGGCCCCGCCCGGAGAACGTGCGGTGAGGTCGAGGCCGGGCCGGTGTCACGGCCGGGCCCCCCGGGGACGAGGTGACACGTGTGTGCCCAGAGCCCCCCGGCGACGCCGGGCCGGTCCCGCGGGTGCCGGCAGGTCGCGAACGCCCGCCGTGTCGCGACACAGCGCCTCGCACGCACAGGCCGGGCCGGGGCTGTCCCCGCCCCGCCAGGCCCGGCACTACAAGTCCCAGCAGCGCCGGGGCCGCGTGCGCAGAGCCGCGCCCGGCCGGGCCGCAGCGGGGCCGGCAGCGCTCGGGCCAACGAGAGACCGCCCCGGGGCGCGGGGCCGCGGGAGGAGGAGCGGCGGCGGCGGCGGCGGGAGGAAGGCCCGGGGCCTGACAAACCCTCCGCTCTTCCAGGGCAGCGAGAGGGAAGGCGGGCGGCCGAGCAGGGACGGAGCCGAGCGGGGTATGTCGGGTGGGGGTATCGCGATAGGGCGCCCGGGAGGCGCGGGGAGCGGCGCGGGGGCGGCGGGAGGCGCTGCCGGTGGGGTTCGCTCGGGGGTGTCTGTGCCCTGCAGCCCCCGCCGGGGCCCGGGGGTCGCGGCTCGGGGGTGTCGGGACCGCGGGCAGCGCGGCCTCGCCGGTGCCTCCCGGCGCCTCCGCCGCTTTTGTGCTGGGCACGTCCGGCACTGAAACTTGGCGAGTGCCCTGACTTCCCTTTTTGGGTGCTCGCAGACCCCCAGCGCCAGGGAGCTCCGTCCAGGCGGTATCGGGCTTTTTTCTTGCAAAGTCATGATCCCGCGCTCCGAGAGCTGTCGGGATGGAGCTCTCGGAGCGGGCATGTGACACCACACTTACTGATAGGTAAAAGGCTATTTTGGTGGACGATGCAGTTGACTCACGAGTAGAAGCTGCAGTTTGGAGAGGATGGAGGGGGAATGGCACGGGCGGTACGTGAAGTCTGAAACATTCTGTGAAAGTGGCAGGGTGGTGGCTTCAGGAAACAGACTTTCACATCGCTGCTGCCGTGGAGGGTTCCAAAATATTCAAGATACTCCACACAGAGGTTTTGGTGTGAGGCTTGTCAGGTCCTGGAGAATACACTCTCCTCGGTAGCAGCTGTCCTCCCTGGTGGCCCCTGGATGGGGTGTTTTGTTTCACCGTGGGGAAGGGAGCTGCTCTCAGGAGAACAGCCTGGGAACAGGTTGGTTTTGTCACTTTGAGCTACTTCGAGTTCTGCACTTGTTCCGACTGGAAGCTTTTCAGTATGGCCCTTACCTGAAGGGAGTTCCCCTTTACAGCATCACAAGCAACTGGAGGGGATTTTAGTCTGGTTATGTGCTTTTTATCGATTTTATGCAGTGCAGTAATACCACAATAGATAATTTAGTAGCCAACTGATCCCGTGCATTACTGATCAAGTTCTGGTTTGGGGCAAGGGAGACAAGGTGCTCCTTGCCCACGGATGGACAGCATGTCCAGTGCTGGCTGAGAGCAGCCTCTGGGCAGGAGCAAACTTGAAGGATGAGTTTCTTATTGATGTCAATTAGACAGTGGAACTGCATTTTGCGTGTAACACATGCATTTGAGATGGTGGGTGTTGTAACCTGAGAGTTCAGCAGATGAGCCCTAGGTCACGGTGAACCATCTTACCCAGAAAAAGGCTCTTTTAGCTGTGGCAGACAGGCTGTTAGCTTGTATAAAGAAATGAGGCTTGTTAGTTGCTACTATAAATACTAATGAGAAAAGAGGTATTTCATCAGGGCTGAATTAGCTTGGAAGCTATTCAAGGCTTGCTTAGGAGTTATTTTTCAGTAAGAAGGAGTGATTTCAGTTGTGCCTTGCCCTGCCCTGCCTACGTTAGATCTGCCCAAACTTGCTTTGGAAGTTGTCTTGTGCAGCGAGACTCAGGAGGAACCACTAACCCTGAGCAGGAAATGCTGTAGTAGGAAGAAGAATCTGGTGTACCAGCAGTATTTACCACTTTACTTAATCTCTTTTCTGTCAAGTGAATCACAGACATACTCAGTAGGGATGTGGCTCATTCCTGCATGTCACAGGACAGACCTACAGAGTTTTTAAGGTGGAGTTCAGGACCAAAAAGTTCTAAAGATCATGTTTTCCAGGGCTTTTAAGAGTAGGAAGGAATCCATGTCCTGTGTTCATCAAAGGATAGACTGCCTCAAGTTCTGAACAGATTTGTGCTGCCAGCAGGGCAAGGCATCTCGGATACTGTCAGGTCACAAAGTCTTTGTTGTTGATATGTGGAGCATCATGAAGAGAAATTGTTTGAGTTGTTGTGCTAAGCTGCTCTTACTGTGTCACAGTTACTGGTAGGTTCCTGAGAAGTCTTGAAATAACTGACAGAAAATGGAAATGTTTTCGTATCAACATGAAATTTCAGGATTTAAAAATAACCTGCACGTAGCAGGAGTTATTTAATATCCATTGTTTCTTCAGCCACAGCAGGCTGTTGGATGTCTAAATATCCTAAACAGTCTCCTTCATGCAGCTGCATACAGATACCTGCTGTTCCAGGTGTGGTGTGACACTCACAAACCAGGCTGCTGGATACTTACGGGCACCTCGTCCTCAGTGCTGGCCTGGAGTGAACGTTTGGAGCCTGTCAGAGGGTGCTGTTTAAAGGGAAGAGGTTTTGGGGGAGGAGCAGTGTGTGTCAGGTGGGTGTGTTAGTGGTACAGCAGTTTCTCCTTTCAGGACAGGCTGTGTCAGTAACAGCAGGATCTGAGGAGAGGAGAAGCACACGTATCTTGCCCGACTGGGTTTTTTGCGTTTTCTTTCCTGAGCTCTCCTGAAGTGCTGTGTGTGTTGAACTTCACATCTCTGCTGTTCTCAGGTGTCTGAGAGACCTCAGGAGAAGACAAAGTTCCTCCTGTGCTTGTGTGGCTTCAGAATGATTCATTTAAAAACTAGTGAAAGGCAGTGGCAAGATGTTCCTCTCCATGGAGGTGGATCTCAGCAGCAACCCCTGGAGTCGAGTCACTTGGATTTTTATGGAGGTTACAAAGCCGAGGAAGCTGCTGATCCTGTTTGCTTGTATGCAGGGTGGAAGCTGCTGTCGTGCAGTTGTCTTCCTGTGGATTGACAGGAAAATCCTGTGGATTTTCACAGTTCCTGACAAAGCAGTGGTACACAGTAACCTGCTGTGGCTCAGTTCTGAATCACTTCTCTTGCTTTCGTTATTTCTGCTGTTGTGCAGCAGAGGCAGATAACACAGACACAGGGGCAGTGCCAAAGGCAGATAACACAGACACATGGGCAGTGCCAACTGATGGGAGGTTATCAGGTAGTCACGAGACCAGTATATTTAGAAGTGCAGTTGCAGCTCTTTGGAGCCCTAATTTGGGCCTGAAGTTCATAGTGACACTTTGAAATTAAAAATCAGAGCATACAGCAGTGGGCAATGTCCCACAGCCACTCAGGACCCAGTGTGTGGGTAAGGGCTGAGGTGCTCTGTAGTGAGGAGGTGCCCAGGTCCTGTGCTGGGTGCTCACTTCACTTTCCAAGTGGCTGAGAGGCCATTCTGTCAGGTTTTTTCGAGTGGCATCACAAATGATTACTACTGTGTTTGCAAGCAGTAACAAGTTTATTGCTGTTTTGTTTTTTTTTTTTTGTGAGCCCTTAAATTCTGAGACAAAAAATAAATTTGTTGCAAGAAGTTATTTGTTTCTCAAAGAACTTTGGCAGTAACAGAAATGTTTCTTTTTCTAATCATTTCTCTGAGACTGTCCTAGTTAAAAACATCTGAATTAGCTCATCCTTCAAGTTCCTGTTGTGCTCTCATCTTTGGGTGCATCAGCTGTAACCTCTGGTTAGGGTTGCTGGGTTTTTGAAGGGCTTTTGAGTTTGGGGTTATTTTTTTGAGAGCTTTATATACCCAGTTGTGTGTATTTGCTAGGAATGGTCTTCACACCTGACACCATCAGGTGTAATAAGACTGCAAATTTTTATACATAAAGACTTGTGACAGCTTCTCTGTTCGTCTCTGCCTGGGTTCTGGTTGTGAGGTCAGAACTACAGATGAAAGAACTTAATTACACAAGGAGCAGTGATGGTTGTCAGTGCACTTGGTTATCAGGCTGAAAAAAACTCAACAAATGGGAAACCTGTGCCTAATTAGGGAGCTAATCTGTATTCCTGCTGTTCAGCAAGGATCACCTCCTGCTATGCTGAACAGTGAACCACAGATCTTCAAAACACTAAAAGGGGAGAGCACTGAGCCAGCACATGGTACATTATTTGTAGTTTCTCAAGCATGGGCTAAATGGGTTTGTGAAGCAAGGCCTGTCCAGAGTCACTGCAGGTTGTGGGAAGTAAGTTTTTATTTTAACTGTAGTATGGCTTTGAAGGGTTCCTCAGCAGAGCCCTCTGGCATATATCCATTACTGATATATCCTACAGGTAGCTGTTGCAGATCATAGACTTTTCCTTCCTAAATTATCTGGTGTGGCTGTTGATTCTGGTGGGGAAGACATACAGCAGTTAATCATCAATTCCATGACCTGCATGATTTCCCTTCCCTCATCAGCATTAATGTAGTTGATTTTTTTTTTTCTCCCATAGAGTTAATTTTTAGATGGATTTGCTCCTGGAACGTGTCTTGACTGGTGTGGTACTCTG